GCATTACGGTAGCACCCGAGTAGTGTGCCCTTTATTAGTGGTGTTACGGTAGCCCCTAGAGCCCCCAGCTGAGCCTCTTTATGACTTGAGCTTTATTAGCGGCATTATGGTAGGACCACTGTAGTGTGCCCGTTATTAGCGGCATTACGGTAGCCCCTAGAGCCCCCAGCTGAGATCCAAGCCCCATTATAACATGCTCTTTATTAGTAGTATTACGGTAGCCCCCCAAGTGGCGGCTCCTGGCAGTGCCGGGTCGAGCCCGGGGAGGGCCCCAGGGTCCCCCAGGAAAGGGCTGGGAATCCAGGGGGCCGGACTCTCCAGCTGCACTCCGCCCCCCCCTCCCCCCGACTCGGGCGCCCCCCACCTGTCCGCGTGGGTGAGGCGCTGACGCAGCTCCTGGGCGGGCCCGACACCCCCGGGGTCCCCGTCCTCCCTGACGTAGAGCTCCGGCTCCAACCCCCCCGGGGGGCTCTCGGCCTCCTCACCAGCTGCTGGGGCGCTGCGGGGCTCCACCCCCGAGTGCTGGGAGACCAGGATCTGGGAGGCGGGGAGAGACACGGGGATCAGAGGGGTTCAGTCTCCAGTGCACCCAGCCCACCCCCCGGCCCCCCGCCCGGCGACTCACCCCGAGCTGCACCCGCAGCAGGACCTGGCCGCCGGGGCCGGCGCGGCTGAGCGGGAACCAGCGGTCGAGCGTCAGCGTCTCAGCCGCCAGCAGCTGGGTGAGGGGCAGGCTCAGCGCCCCCAGGCCCTGCCCCCCCTCGTCCTTCACCTGTGGGCGGGACGGACAGAGCTCAGGCCTGGGTCAGACAGGGGAGGGGGGACGGGGTGGGGGGCTGGGATTTACCTGCAGCTCCAAGGACTCCACGTGGGGGCGCTTGACGAGGAAGGAGAAGCCTTCGTCCCAGACCGGCTCCGAGGTGGAGGTGATGGTCTGGGGGGGGGAGCCTGTGAAAGCAGTGAGGCCAGGACCCCCCTCCCCGAACACACAGGGTGCCCCTCCCCATGGCACCCCCCCCTCCCAACACCCACTCCGCCACCTGTCCCAATGCCTCTCCCTCTCCGGCAGCCCCAGCACAGGGCAAGCCCCCCAGACCATCCCCCCTGCCCCACAGGGACCCCCCCCATGTCCTCCCCACACTTGTCCCAATGCCTCTCCCTCTCCGGCAGCCCCCACCTCCGGGCAAGCCCCCCAAACCACCCCCCGTCCCCCGCTACCTTGCTCTTGTAGGAGACGTTCCGGACGGAGAGGTTGACGTAGGGGCTGGGGGGCTTGGAGCCCTTCCGGAGCTGGGGAGAAGGGGGGCGGTGAGTGGAGGAAACCAAGGGGGGCACAAGCCCTATGGAGCTGGCGCAGCCCCCACCCTCAGGACCAGACAGTGGGGTGCACGACAGGCTGTGTCCGAGGCCCCCAGAGTGGGAATCTGCCCAGCTCGGGGCCGGCTGGCTGCAAACTGGGGGTCTCACGCCCCCCAGATATGGAGGCAGAGCACGCCCAGCACGGAGAGGGCAGAGCGGGAGGCCTGGGTGAGGCTGAACCCAGGAGTCCGGGGGGTTGGGGGCTCACCGGCAGGTCGGCCGCCCGGTCCAGGAAGACGGAGAGCAGGGCGGACGAGAGCTCCGCGCTCCGCTGGGTCTGGGTCAGGCTGTTTATCATCAGCACCTGGAACGAAGCCAGCGTGAGCCCCGGCCCGGCCCCGCGGGGCAGTGCCAGGGGGCTGCCCGGAACAGCGGGCAGGGCAGGGGAGCATGGCACCCCCGCCGGCAGGGCTGGCTTCACAGCAAGCGCCTAGCATGCAGCCTAGCTCTCCCTGACCCACTCCTGACCCACATCCCCGTGCCCCCAGCTCTGCCAGTCCCCCTCACTCCCGACCCACAGCCCCCTGCTAGCCCAGCCCTGGGCTCCCGACCCGCAGCCCTCCACTAGCCCAGCGCTGGCCCTGTCTTGGACGCATCGCGTAGCCCATGGGGCTAGTTCGCCTCCATTACATTCCGCGGTAACGCAAGGGGCAGCTTCGGCAGTTGGACAAGGCTTGAGGCCTGTGACGCCGGCCCCGAGAAACGGCCGAACGGTGACCCCCACGGCAGCCCCCTGGGCGCTGGCGAGGAGGAAGATGTCGGCCGACATCCCAGGCTGTTCTGCACGGGACGGGGGCGTACGGACGCTCTGAATTACCTCCCTCTCTCTCGCCGGCTTGGCCGGGATCCCGCAGCCAGAGCGGGGCGGCTGGGACCCCAGGGGTCCCGGCTCTACAGCCAAGCCCCTGCCCCCCCGCAGAGCGAGGGCTGGGGCTTCTCGGGGAGTCAATACCGAACGGACCGATGGGGCAGGGACCCTGGCTGAGACCCAGCAAGCTCCTGTCGCTTGTGACATCTGCTGCATTTTGAACCCCACCGTATCGCTCTAGCCCCACCCCGCCCCCCAATCCCCTCCCCACGGGCTGAGAGCTGCTGCCCGGGCCCCTACCCGACCCTGACGCTACCCCCCCTCCCTGGCCCAGCGGCTGTTCCCCTGCTCCAGCCCACAGTGCCCAGCGCAGCCGGCCCCCCCGTACCTGCTCCAGCTCGGCGCCGTTGGGGGTGGGGGTCAGGCACTCCAGCCTCACGTGGAGGCGGCCGGATTTCACGTCCTCCAGGGGGAGCCACTGGAAGGAGAGAGGCAGCAGGGGTCAGATCTCCCTGCCTGCCCCCTCCCCCCCGCCCGTCCCCTCCCCCCAACGCTGCCCCCAGGGGCCCCGCGAGCTCCCACCTCGTCGATGAACCGGCTGCTCAGCACTCGCTTCAGGGCGATCTTACACCTGGGGGGAGAACACGGGTCAGTTTGGGGGGAGGGCCCCCCAAAGCCGAGTCGTGCCGGAGGGGCCTGCAGACCGGGCAGGGGGCGCACAGACGCCCTGGGGGGGGCCCCAGAGAACCCCACGAGGACGCGAGTGGAGCAGGTGGGGGCTGGGAGCCCCGGTTCGGTTCTTCCCCCTCCCCTGCCCGGTTCCGGTCCCGACCCACCTGCCCAGGAAGTCGTCCTTGTCGATGTCTTTGTCGTAGATCTCGAATTCCACCTCCTGGCCTGGGACCTCGTTCACAATGACCTGGGGGAGGGGAAACAACGGGGGGGGGGTCACCAGAAGCCCACCACCACCCAGCCGCGTCCCTGCTCCCAGCACAGACCGGGGGGGGGGGGGGGGGGGGGGGGGGG